ACAAACATGACACCAAGGCTACAACACATTATCTAAGGTGGAGCAAATACCAGTAAGCTTAAGATGTCATAAAACAGCATTTCTTGTATCAAATAATTTGTTTTATTAAGTGGCAAAGCCTCAGACAGCCTGTGAACAGAAGGTCACACAGGCCAATTACAGGGATAGATAAGGGAGATAAATCAGAGGCAGAGAGTCTAACATCAATATGATTGCTCTATCTTGATAATAATTTAGATATTTGGATTAGCGTTAGCCATTAAAATAACCCATTAAAAGATAAGTATAAGGGATACCGAGGCCTTTGCTTAAGTTTGATTTTAAGGAGGCTAAATGAATTGAAACTTATTAATCAAAAAGTACTTCTTAAAGCAGATTATCTATCTAAAAGTTAAAAGCTTCAGCCAGCGGATAACAGTCATCGTTTTATTTTTGACTGATATGTGAAATATGATCATTTATTTTTCAAACACGCATGATGCACTAAGGGAAGCTGTCAGTTGGTGTCAGTACTCGACAACAGTAGTCGGGGCGTTGCCACATGCTGACAGTTCTAAGAGTATTTGTTGAATTGTGATCCCCGATGTATTGCGACAGCATCTATGCTTTCATTTTCAATTTTGCCAGCTCCGAAGGCCCATATGGAGACTGTCTGAAGCTATTGTGTCACTTTGTATGCAAATTTTACAGCTCTTAACGCCGGGTATCATCCTTGAACTTTGGTGCTTGGATGCAGATGCATTTAATTTATTTACCTTTCCTTTACCACAATGATTAAAACATTGGCTTTTGCTCCACTTTGTGTAATCGACATGCCTGAGACTAGGGGTGCACCGAATGGGAAATTCTTGGCCAAAACCGATACCGAAAATAGGAAACAGTTGGCCGAAAACCGAATGCCGAAAGGCCGAAAATGATTAATAGAAATATATATATATATATTGTATACATTTTTTTACAATGTTGTTCAGCTACCTGATTATGGAAAAAGACATGATTATGGCAAAACTTAACTTAAATAATAATCACTATTATGGGTCCATAAAACATTTATTCAGCACTTTTGAATACATACAGTACATTAATTCCAAGTCAAGTGCATTTTCTTTTCTCTGTAGGATAACTACAACAAAGTGCATTCAGAACAAAGCCAAGGTGCTTTAAAATAAACATTTAGGCCAGTAGGCCTACAACAAAATAGTGTAAATAAAGACTGTAACAGCCAGGCCTTCAACAACAACAAATGCACCTATAAGTTTGGTAACCTAACGTGTTGTTGTGATGACGTAATCAAAACGTGGCGACAAGCACGGCGCGCGACCATGCTCGCGGCTGGCTCACAGCCAACATGTCTGCCGCTTGGAGATATTTAAAAATATCAGAGAGAGAGGCGCGGATTGCGATTTGTAAAACGTGTTCAGCTGACATTTCTCGAGGGGGTGTAACTGCAAAGACTTTCACCACTTCGGGATTACTCCACCACTTGAAATCAAAACACCCGCCCCCCCTCTGCAACTCCTGAATTTGTAATTGACTTTATATAGATACATAAAAATATAAATAAATACGTTGTGGGCGTAGAAGAAACAAAATGGGTCTTGGATTGAAAAAAAAAAAAAATTTATGGTACGGACTACGGACCTACTTTGACTTTACGTTTTTACGTCTACCATTTCGTCCCGCTTGGAAAAAAGAAGGACAGGCAAACTTGCGTGGTCTTGTATGTCCGTAGTAACTATTTGTTAGGTAGAGGTACGATAGGGTGGTCTCAGGACGTACACCGCGAATACGTGTGATTTTCCAGAATTTTTTTTAACCATCCAGTGATTCTCACAATGAGTTTGACAGACAACATTTACAGTTTAGTTGAGGTCCTTTTTGCAAGATCTAATTTAAAGTGGGTGACTTATAGTATAACGTGACTTTCTAGGTGTTTCGTACAAGTTTACAACAACTGTTTGTGTCACTATTTTGTAGGACTTGACCACAGAGAGTTATCAACGATACGTCTCACACGTGACACCACATTTGGAGAAGGTGGTAAAAAGGAGACGTCTCCTACGGACAACTTCGTTTTAAGCTGACAAAATGAATCTAACACCAATGACGAAGCTTTGGTTTCAAATAGTCCCATATTTATTTGGAGGTCCGTTGCAGGAACGTCACACAAGTGTCATTTGTTAATTGGGAAACGACGTGACAGAGTCCATCCCTACGTGGCTTATAAGCGTGTGGCTTTTAATAGCCCGGCTTTTTTACGCAATTTTTCCGTAAGCGAAGCAACGGCTTTCCCAAAATTGTGGGCTTTTTTATAGTGGCTTACAGTCTCTTGTCCAATGCAACCTAGTATCGAGGGC